TATCATACTATACTACACTACATTACACCACACCACAGACACTGAACATTGGCTTAGCATGTTCAAAAAGGACATGGCAGATTATACTGTTTGTTTAATCAGAATTTCTCTTTAATAGGACTTAAATGAAGCTGTGACCTTACACTACAAATCACAACACTGCAGGGTTACAAATAGTTACATAAGATTCACATACTTTCATCACTGTAGGTGTTTCAAATGTTATAACTCTTTAGAACAAGGATTCTTAAAGTGTGGGCCATAATACCCCAGTGGATGGTGAGAAATTTAGTCACAAGGGCTAAACCTATGGATTGAGTTATCTGTCAAAATCACCCAACAATCACAAAACATTAATCCAAATATATTTCATTTTATTAGGGCATTGGGTACATATATTTATTATTTTAGAGAATTGCAGTATTACAAAGTTTAAAATTACTCGTTCAGAAAAAAGCTATATTTCTTGGCTAGTTTTGGGGCATAATTCAAAGTTTATATTATGACCTTTAAAACTCTAAATTGCTAAATATCAGGAAGTGCAACGACTAGTTGTTTCCAGTGAGTATGTCTGATTGTAAAGAGTTTTCTTGTATGTCTTGCCAATTGTTGAGTTGCAAGAAGAAGGGGGGGGGGGGTGTTGCTATTCCTAGATCACAAAAATTTGCTTAAGAAGTTCAACACTTTGCTACATTCAAAGTATTTAGAAAAGCCTTTAGTCTCTGTCAGTATGCATCATTTGCTTCCTGTAATATTTCTACTGTAAATTTTATACCACAGTACAATGTTTTCATAGTTCTAGGAAACCATTAGGCACAGTGTAATTCAGGCATGCCTACAAAATTGTCAATTTCCATCTGCCCAAAAAGCCCCTTGCAAAATAAATTACATTATTTCCCTATATTGTTTTAAATTGGAATGAATGCCATATTTTTCCAGAAATTTAGAAATAAAGATATAACTCCATGGAAATGTTAAAATTATATTACTTTATAATATCTATTTAGTTCACGTCATCTTATGTTCACAAAATAGGAATGACAAACAACAGCTATCTGCAGTATTATCACTAATATATTTTGTTTCATGGCAACTCAGTCCCAAATCAATCAGACATCAACTCTCAAATAGACTAATGTGCAGAAATGACCTTTTAAAGATACAAATCACTTATAAAAAATTTTAACTAATTTCTGCATGACAACTTGCATCTAGGCAAGTTTTCTAGGATTTTGCAAGTTGCAAAACCTTAGGAATACTGAAGTTATCAGAGTAAACCCAGCTACAATGCATATACTCGCATAACGATATCCAATAAAAAATTAACTTTAGCTTTAAGACAAGTATATGATGCAATATTAATTTTACACATATTAATTTGATTACACAAGAAAATTATGCGCAAAATTATTTTATCCAGGATTTGCATTTATCTTCTCATTTTCAAGAAAATAATGAAGATTATAATTTTATTATTTTCTGTTTCTTTGAAGTACTTCTCACCCAATGGAAGGAAGGCTTACATATATCAAATCTCAACCAGGGATAGGAGTTCATTACTGCATGTTAATAATGTTTCATAAGCATAATGCAACCCAGATATAAGAACTCCGTGGACCATTGATTTGATATATGTAAGCCTTCCTTCCACTGGGCGAGACCTACTATTTTGCTTTTTAAAAACCAGAAGCTCAGAAGTAAATTCTGCTGCATTACTGATAAGTTTAATTTGAGGAAGTTATTGAGCAGAAAGTGATAGAACAAATCTATCTTTTGTTCTGTTTCATCATTGGCATTTCCAGATCAAAGCTAATGCAATCTATTTAATGACAGTATGAGTGCAGTCAGATGGTCTTACCATTTAAAATTTGTAAAAATCATTTTAGCTACCATTTCAGCACTCACAAGATTTTATCACTACATCATACTGTATGCTGTGACAGGATATTCTTGAATTCTTGATTCTTGTGGAGATTAAAAATTCCAATATTATGACTACATATAGCAATGTCAGATCCCTTTGGTTCTGCCCAAACATAAGTGAGCCACAGTTTAAGCTGAATAGAAGCAATCTGACACCTTAAAATGGTAATATAATTCACAAAATCCCTCATCTGGATGACATTCCAGCATTTTTGAAGTACTAGAGAAGGCTATTCACAATATTTTGGATTACTAACATTAGAGCCACTATTATGTTCAAAGATATAATCTGAAGGACAGATTATCAGATAGTCTACACAATTTTACCTTAGCATTGTAAAAACAAACTTTGAATAACTAGGTTGCCATGCTCTTGGTAGATTCCCTTCCACAAACAAAATCATCTGCAGACTGCAAATTCCTACTTTGCTACTATTGTTATGAGAACCTACATGAATTATAAAAATATAGTTTGAACTTGGCTTATTTTTATTACAATTGTGATTTTGAAATCTGCTTTGGTTCAAATGACCCAGTAAATTGTGATTAATCAAAAATAGAAGCAAAATCTGGATCACCGCACAGATTAGATGCCATGCTTGTCTTAGTATGATTTAACATTACATTCAAACCTGTACTTTTGTAGTTGGGATCTTTGTTGGAATGCATTCCGAATTAGACATAAAAAGAGCATAGATACCTTAATTTCAAAATCAGCAGTATTTTTAGAAATTACTTAAGTAAATATATCAACCAGAATGTTGCAATCTAAAATTTTAATACCCTAGCAGTTATCATTATATAATTTTATATATTGCAACAAATATATAATGTATATGCAACAAAATTTCCTTTACAAATGCTAAATCACAAACTAAATTTCTTAAATTAAGTAGAGAACGATTAGGATTTTATAATGCTTTGGGCTTCATTCTGAAAAGGACACCTCAACATAAAAGCAACATTAAGTGCAATTAACTAAAGTAGCTGTATGATCCACAGAAATCCCACCTGCTTCAATGAATCACTAACATGGGCCACATTTGCACTACAAAGCAATTTTATTGAAATGAATTCAAAGCCATGTGCAGTGCAGCCCTGATAAATTTATTAAGATTAAAATACAGCAGCCTCCATAGTGTACTAAACTCTAATCTTATTGCAAAGGCAGGATAAAACAGCTCCAAAGCTATGATGATCTTTTGAAAAAGGCAGAATTGGTGCAAAGATTAGAAAAGTGACTTTTAGAAAATAGAGGACTTGCATAAAGTGAGCCTAAATAACTTCCTAACATATGGATATCTTATTCATTAATTCCAAAAAGGATATTACATCAGTGAATTAAACATTTTCCCTTATTTACTGGATTTACAGGCAAAATTTAATATAAAAATCTACTGGGTATTTAATAATGTGTTCCCACGCACATTTAGATGAAAGCAAGCCTTGCTCAAACAAGTATTTAATACATAAACATAAAAGCTGTTCTTTCAATGAGTTGAATGTTTAAAGTTATTCATTACACTCCCCATAATACAGCAATCTACTAAGAAGTGTTCTGCTGCTTCTCTTCCATCACAGCTATCTTTTCACATTTCCTATCATTTTAGAAACACCTGGCAAGATATTTAAACTAGTTGTACAGTTCTTTTGATTGTGATCGATTACTAACAGTTTAATGCACATTTGCACAGACTGTAGTTTTTCTATCTAGTGGTAGGAGCATGTAGTGAACAAAGTTCCATTCGGAGTATTTCAACCAGCAGAAACTGATGGAGGATGAATTTTGTTCCTTCCCCTCCTTTCACAATTGTCAATACCACTTCATTCACTACTCTGTAGGATCGCTATTCTTTGGAATAAAGACAAAAAGAGACTCAAGAGAGGATTTCCTTTCCTTTAGGTATATTGACCTTGCTCCCATCGCCTTCGGAGTAATGTCCATAGCAATTCGGGGGGATGATCAGTGTTAGTACATCACATCAGGACTTCAGCAGGTTGGGATATTCAATGAGAGCAGAACCCCTTTTCACTATTACCAGCTCCTGTAAGAGCAGTCAGTGTCAAATTTTAACCAAAGATTCATAAAGCCAGCATGAGTTATTATAAAGTTTGCTCCGATAAATACTAACTTGGGAGCAAGTCTCATGGTCTAGCCTAGCTGTTCGTCCTTAAAAAGGTAGGGCCTTGGATGTTGCCAAAAGGACTCAGGGCACATCGTACCGTTAAATCTAAAGGTTTCGAAGTTAACACATAAAATAACGCTGTTCTTTTAAGTTATCAACTCGGTTCTTTTCTTTTCACTAAGTCTAGAGGCGGTCCACCGCCGTTCGTTGATAACTAAACTAAACTAAACCAAAAAAAAAAAGAAAGCTTTTAATAAAACGTGCCGAAAGTTTCAACACTTCCGTTCACAGAGGCGTCCCCCCAGCTTCCCGGGGCCCGAGAGAGAGAGATCGCATTTTCATCCTGCGTCCGCTTCTCCACACGGAGAGGAGGAAGGACCAGCTAAAATGGGGGAGAAAGGAAGAGGCGCGCGCGTGCACCCACACGGACAGCGAGGGCTAAGCGACTCGGGCGGGCAAACAAACAGCCGGGCCTTTGTGCAGCAGCCTTTCACACAATGAGACTCCCTCCCCGGGAAGCCTGGCTGCCTCTCGCCGCCGCCATGTTGGGTCCGGGCCGGCTCCATGTGCAGAGGGGGGGGAGGGGGGGAGAGGGAAAGAGAGTACAAGAGAAAAGAAATAAAAGGGGGGGGGGGGCGAGAGCTCAAGTCTCCGGTTAGCCGGTTTGGAATCGGCGAGGGAGGGTGACGGGAAGAAAGGCGGGCCAAGAGGACGCGGAAAGCGCGTTCAGTCCTGAAGGAAAAGCCTCCTCTCCGCCCCTCCGACTAGAAACAAAAGAGCAGGCGGGGAAGCGCAAGGAAAGGGAAAGTCTTTTCAGAATCACCTCAGTTACCGCCACTCGCTCCAATCAACGTTAATTCCCACCCTCACAACTCCCGGGAAAGGGGAAGGGGGAGGGAAGGAGGATGGGGGGGAAGGGGAGAGAGAGAAAGAGAGACCCAGCATCCGTACCTTTTTCTTCTCCAAATTGCGCAGCTTCTTATCGATGACACCCAAAATCTGCTTCATGGCCTCCGTCTGCACCGAACTCGTACTGCCACCCGAAACCGCTGCCTGAGAAGCCGCCGCCGCCGCTACCGTTGCCTCGTTGCCCGCTTTACTGCCGCTACTCGCCATCGCGCTGCTGGTGGCCGAGGGCATCGCTTACTGAGGGAGAGAAGAACAACGCGTTACGGGATTCGGAGGGAGGGAGGGAGGAAGCGAGAAAAAGGAAGCCCAGCCGACGGGACGGCAGAAGGGACAGACTGCAGGGAGACGGAAAACGCGTCCCACCGGAACGCCTTTCAGTCTTCCAATGCCTCTTTTATCTCACGTCCCGTCCCCCCCCCCCACCATCCTCTCTCCCCGCGCGCGCGCGCGGCCAGTTCTGACCCGGACCGCACCTGTCAGCGCGCGCCCAACGATCCTAACCAACCTGATTGATCCTTAAAGGTCCGACCGCAACACCGCGGGCGCGTGCTCGGCACCCACGTGATTGGCAACGCGCGGACATCCCTCGCTTTCACATTCCTAACCCCCACCCCCACCCCTCCCTCACCCACAGCCGCCGCCGCGGCGATCAACGGTCTTCCCAGAACCGCTCTTCTTTACTTCTTCTTCCTCCCCCTCACCGTGAGAGATGCGCGCGCCCGCGTGCGTGTGTGTGAAGAAATGGAAGATGGGAAGGCACCAGGAAAAAGACTCGGTGGACTCTACGCAGGGGGAAACGGCGGCCTCTGTCCGCGCGAGCCCGGCCACTTACACCGCTACCTCTGCACCGAGTTATGGGGGGGAAAGGAAAAGACCAAAGGAAGGCCGCGAGAGCGCGCGCGCGCGGGACCGGCAGGGGGCGAGCGGTGGAGGGGGTCCTCATTTCATAGAGGTGGCGGTAGCGAATGCCGGAATCGCTTCATCAAACTAACCTCGTGCTAGCTTCATAGCCTGCCTTCGTAAAAGCCTCAGTCTTAGGGCACGAGTTTGTTTTGTTTTTTCAGGCGCGCCGAGGCCACCTAGACCTTCGGCGCCGTGGTTAAGAGGAGCGACTTAGGCGGCGTCCAAGATTCCGGGAGGCGGGACTGTGCTGGGCCAAGTCGAAAAGTGCTATTTTGGCGGGGGAGGCCGCGACCCGGTTGTGGTGGGAAGGGCGGTTGGTTGGCTGTCTAGGGGAGCTCATTTTCCTGGATTTGGGAAATTTCTAAGGTTCGTAGAGCAGAACTGCTTTCCCCGATAAGTTATTTGTTAACTCTTGACTCTGGAGGAGCAGGAAAGTTCGAGGTCAGGGCAAGTTTTTTTTTTTCTTGGCAGTAATTCCGGGGTTTTGAAAACCTACAAAACTTTATGTGGTTCTTGTAGAAGGGCGTGAGGCAAAAAAAAAAAAAAAAAAAGATTTAGTCCGCCAAGGCTATTGCTGTTGCGTTGGTGTTGGTAGCAATTAAATGCAAATACTAACTTCCATATTGCTTTAGCGCCCTCATCATAAAGATTTAAACACGCCTAAAGCACTGTGAAGCGGTATATAAGTCTAAGAAGTGCTATGGCTGTTTGAACATTCTGAGCACTTTATAATAAAGTCACAAACACCATTCAGAGTAACAGATAATTTGGGCAAAGGTATGCTTATTTCAGGGACGCGGTGGCTCCATGGCTAAGACGCTGAGCTTGTCGATCGAAAGGTCACCAGTTCAGCGGTTCGAATCCCTAGTGCCGCGTAACGGGGTGACCTCCCAGCTTCTGCCAACCTAGCAGTTCGAAAGCACGTGAAAAAAATGCAAGTAGAAAAATAGGGACCACCTTTGGTGGGAAGGTAACACCAAAGGCGTTCCGTGCGCCTTTGGCATTTAGTCAAGCCGGCCACATGACCACGGAGATGTCTTCGGACAGCGCTGGCTCTTCGGCTCTGAAATGGAGATGAGCACCACCCCCTAGAGTTGGGAACAACTAGCACATATGTGCGAGGGCAACCTTTACCTTTACCTATGCTTATTTCAGAAAAGAATGGTGAAATCTAAAATTTAAATTTTTATAAGAAAGTATGGTTTGAAATGATGAGCTTGGGGTAATCGTTTTATTTTTATTTATTCCTATGTCAGTGAAGATGATTATGTGCCGGTATAATCATTTTGAAGTCCTAGCAACCACATATATACATTTTCTGTATCACAATTTATCCTTAACCTGTTCTTTCAGGTCTCTCAATGGTGCGCTCATCACCATGGTAACCGAATCCATCCACCCCATAAAATGATAGGTTTGGGAAACAATAAACAATTTTGTTACATTAGTGGAAAAACTCTGAATAAAGTGCTATATTTTTCAGGCCTGCATCAGTTTTAAAATTTCTTCAGTGTTGAAACCATGATAGCAAGTGTCTTCAAGAACTGATTACTTTAAAACTAAAGTTGTTGCAAGGATAAAAGGATATTATGTGTAATAACTTTTAACAGTTATATGGCCTGCATGTTTCCAATGGTTTTTACTGAAGTTGAAAGAGCTGTGCTGACTAAAGATAAAGCAAGGAGGAATGTGTAGATGGTGGGAATAAAATTATAGATAGTATCAAATAGAGACCTCACTCATAAGCAACATAATTGCTTACAATTGCTCCCTAAATAAACTTCTGTGAGACTTAATTTCCAAGATTCAAGGCATTCTCCAAACCAGAAGCTTCACCACATTAGATTCTTTTTATATTACTTTTAATTAATGGGGATGGGGAAGGTCTTTTAATTTCAGTACCTTTTTAAAAATGTCACTCAGAATAAAAAAGCATTGCAACATAAAATGACTTAGGCCAGTATTGGCAAACCTTTTCGGCACCAAGTGCCAAAATGGAAACACACGTGTGGCATGTGCGCTGGCCACCTGGTCTTCCAGTTTCTAGTACGTATGTGCATGTGAAGGCCAGCTGGCCGGTGTGCATGTGCATGCCGGAAACCGGAAGAGTGTCAATGAAGTGCCCCCGTAGCCCGCCACTGAGAATGAGCCAGTGCAGCCCTCCCTCCTCCCGCCACTTCTGCCAAGGGAGTGCAACCAGCCAGCACGTCTCTTACCATGGCACCAGACAGACGTTCTTCCGGCGCAGACTCCGCTCCTGTACAGCCCCGCCGCCCCAGAAGAGCGGCAGTGGCAGAACGAGGGGCAAGAGCAACTGGCTAGCTGGGGCCTCGGGCGGTTCTCATGCTGCTGTTTCCAGCCGGGATGCTGGAGGAGAATCTCTGCCGCCCCCCCCCCTCTCCACACACCGGCTGGTCGCTCCTGCCCCTCACCCTGAGGCTGCCACTGATGCTGTTCTGGGGTGGTGGGGCTCTGCAGGAGCTGAGTCCACATGGGAGGAACATCTGTCCAGTGGGAGGGTAAGAGACATGCCGGCCCAGAAGCGGTTGCACTCCCTTTGCAGAAGTGGCGGGAGGCGGGGCTGTGCTGGCTTGTTCTCAGTGGAGGGCGTTGGTGATGGCGGTCCTCGTGTTGCTGTGTCTGGCCGGGATGCTAGAGGAGGAGAAGGAAAAGCCTCTGTTGGGGAGGCGAGCTGCCCCAGGAGGGCCAGAGGAGAGTGCAGTTCTTCATGCATGGAGATGCCACCGAGGGCCCTTTTGGGACAACTCCAAGGTTCGCTCCTGCCCCTCACCCTACTGCTCTTCTGAACCAGCCAGGCGCTCTGGACCGCAGATGCACATCGGTGCCACAGGCTGTAGGGGTGGGGCCGTGCAAGAAGCCGGCTCAGGCGGGGAGGGAGGGAAGCCCCGGCCTGGCTGACAGCTCTGCTCCCTTAGGAAGCAACCACCAGGATCCCCTCTCCACCTCTTTAGGCATGTGAGCTGGTCTTTGTGCACACATGCATGCCAGAAACTGGAAGATCCTTTTCCCGGCGCATGCATTCGTGCTGGACAGCTGCTCTTCTGATTTCTGGCGCTCCCGCACGCATGCCAGCTGGCCGGCACACCAGAACCCAGAAGAGCAACAGAGATGGTTCTCCGTGCCAGTTCCGGCACGCGTGCCATAGGTTTGCCCTCACAGACTTAGGCTTTAACCAAGCACTCTTGTGAGGCAACTTATTTCATGAGAACCGATAGTCAAAGGCTGCAATTCAATGCATGTTATATCTTCCTATTATATGTATGTTTTTCAGCATCAGATATTGCAGCAATATAGGTGGCATCTACCCCACTTTTGATACACTTTTGATATAATCAGCCATGGTATCCTCCTGGAGTACTGTACTGTAAAGAATTTAGAGGATGGCCATGACAGGGAGGGGAGATTCCCTAGAAAGGCAATTCACAGTAAGCATGGTTTAAACCCATGTGAAGGTAGATATTTATGAAGTAGTGTAAGACAGGCACCCCCTAATTCCCATGAAGATAAAAGAGGGAAGAAGGAAGCACATTCAGACTTACAACATTCTATTTTTATAGTAATTCTGATAAGTTTTTGTTCTGTGGTACGGAAGCTACTTGGAATAGTATGAAATAATTACCTTACAAGTTGCCGAGCATAGATTTTTCTTGTTTGTTTTGTTTGTTTGTTTTTATTGCTATAATACACATAAAAGAAAGGAAAATGCAACTGGATATAAAACAGTACATTTTATCCTGAAACAGATAGCTTCTGTGGAAACTGCAGAGAGAGGCCAAAAAGAGAAAAACCATGTCCTGCCAGCCTGAAAGAGTCAAGCCTAGCAGCCATCTAATTACTTAACTACAAAGGGAGTGAGAGTGGGTCAGAATCTAGATATAGCTGTGCACACTTTGAGACTATTAACTCCACATACCTCCAGAAGAGAAAGTGAGTTAACTTTAAAATGTTTGGACAGATGCAAATAAATAAATTAGTTTATTGTTTTATTGCCATGTCACTACTGCTTATCAGAAGGGCAGAAGAGAGGTCGGAAAAAAGAATTCAGCTCTTCTAGCTGCTATAATTAAATACTACCATAATTACTTTACATGCTTGAAAATGAAACAACTTGATCATAAAAAAGGGGAATTCACAAGAAAGTACTTTGTTATCAATAGAAGAGAATATTTATAGCTCAGGGTTGAACTAAGGAGCCCTCGGTGCTCTCTGAGCTCAGTTGTTATCTCATAGGTAACATCTTCAGTGCTAGAAGGGAGTGGGGTTTGCTGAGAGAACAAAAAGGCTAGCGAAGCTGAGAGCACCAAGGATTCCCAAGCATTCTGTATTTGCTGTTGGATCAATTCCCATGAATTCATTAAACCATTGTGTCCAGGTTATTAAAGAATGCATGAATGAAAAAAAATTATTGTATGATGCAACAAAGAGTGGAATTGAAAATTTACATGTGGGAGACCCAGATAGCTATGTTTGATGGAGAAAACATTTATGACAAGGTATGCATATTGGTAGATTTATTATAGATGGTAAATCAGTGAAGACATTTTTAGCTGTGCAATATTGATAGTAAACATTCTGAATGAATATTAGCATTAAAATATGTTTTCAACTATTCTAAGATAAGATATTATCCCATGGGCAAAGTTTAATGTTGGATTTAAAAATTGAGCTCATATACTGTATTTTATAATCATGTTTACTTTCCCCTTTTTCCTTTTTATTTGTTCTTTTGTAATATTTTGTTCTTTATTCTAAAAAAATACAGATAAATATGTCACATGAAAAATACAAAAAGAAATTTAGTGCAGTAGGAATTGATTACTCAACTATATGTGGAGAAAAAAAGATGAGATGGGATCAGGAATGAGAGTGTGATGAATGAATGTCAACTGAATGCAAAGGTGAGTGACCAATGTGAATGAAATTCAGTGAGGTCATTTGGTCATAATGAGAGA